CCTTAGTGTCTTTAGATCAAATTAATTGGACACCGAGACCCTATCCCAGTACTACTGGCCTGGCAAGGAATTCATGCTGAGTGAGTTGGGGGACTGCTATTACCCAGTGTCCTAGAAAACTTCAAGGGTCTGGAGAACATTGGGGCCAGGGGACCACAATTTTCTTTTTTAAAATTTTTAAAGATTTATTTATTTATGCATACAAGAGCTGGGATACAGGCCAGAGATACAGGGGGTGAGAGGATTCACCAGAGACAGAGTGGGGAACAGAAGAGGCAGATTGACTGAGTATAGCAGGGAGCAGCAGGTGAGTCAGGAGAGGTCTGCTGTGCATGTTGGTTGCTCCCTGGCAGGCCAGGGATCGAAGTCGTGCTGCAGAGGCTGTGGATTGCTTCATAGTGAGGTGCTTAGCCGCTAGCGCCATCAGGGAGGCCCCAGGGACTACAATTTTCAACCCTTGCCAAGCCACTCACTGTCCACACTCAGGCAGTTCCTTGGGAGCAGAGATTCTGTTGCCTTCTTGCCACGCTGGCATCCATCAATCTTTGTTGAGGATGGGGGTTCCAGGGCATGGGGTCCCTTCTGTCAAGGCAGAACACAGCCGAAAATCCACCCCCTCCCACCTGCCCCAGGTGTCCTATTCCCCTCCAGAAACCATCATGGTTCCTGGTCCTCTTCCCAGTGTGAGCTCCCAGTGCAGGCAGGTTTGTTATTTCCTCAGTGTCTAAGCCAGAGCTGACACAGACGGTGCTCCCTCCGCCCCTCCCCACCAAAGGTGCTCCCTGACCCCCAACACCCAGCACCAACCCCACACGGACATCAGGACAGAAGGTTCTTCAGGCCTGGGGGAGAGACACCAGAAGAATAGGACAGCAAAGACTCTCAGGGTTGGTTTGGTTTTTTTTTTTCTTCTCCTTCAGCAGCACAGAAAGAACACGAAGTAATACCCCAACAAATCACCCTGCCCTTCTCCGAACAGCCAATGAGCGTTCAGCACTATTCACCCATCTTCAGCAGCCAAGAAAAAAAGACACAAGTATGAAGATAATTTTGAAGATTTCAAAGGTCTTTCTGACGGCAGTGACCAAGTTTGAGAGGCTCCCTCCGCCAGCCCCAGGATAGTAAGATCGCAGGCACACGCTGAAAGGGGTTCCTCCCTTGCCCGCAATGCTTTTGTTCCACAAAAGAGCTCAGCATTCAGTGTGGAGGAGGCTGACGAAGTTCCACGGCAGCCTGCCAAGCTCAGCACCCCCAGCTCAGGGAGTCAGAGCCAGTGAGAGGCAGAGACACGGGGCAGGTGGGGGAAATGACTGTAAAGCCATGGACACAAAGCAATGCACAGAGACCCCGAAAAGACACTCAGGACAGAGAGACCCAGAGGGAAAATCAGCGAACCCACCACTGCCAAAAGGCAAATTAAATGTGCTGCCCGTCATTCCCCAAACTTCACTAGTTTCGCGTTAAAGCAGCAGCTCTACCCTTGGGCAGCCGGGGAAATCATTTCACTTAATGGGCTGTCTGACTGCAAACCTGCTTCAAGGCTCAGTCACTTAAGAATATCTTTGCTCTCTGCCCTTGTCCCCTGACACTCCCCACTTGCACTTGGTGTTTTGAATTTGCTCCCCTTTTTTTGGTCTTTCTAGCAGAGGCCTGTTGGTTTGCAGGTATGTTTTAGCCAACAGGCCTGCAGCTGCAAGTGTGCAATAGTTTCTGGAAAGATCCTTGTAAGTCAGAGATCTTGTCTTCAGAAAAGAGGAAAAGCCAGGCCCTATGGCGGTCACCCCATGGTGTCATGGGGAATTCATGTCATCCTTTTGTTTGAGCTAATCATCCCGTTTCCTTCTGGAGATTAAAGAGAAATTGAGGGGCCTCCCTGGTGGTGCAAGGGGTTAAGACACAGCATTGTGAAGCTATCCACAGCCACTGCACCATGAGTTCAATCCCCAGCCAGGGAGCTACCCACATGGCGAGGCAGACCTCTCCTGTCTCGCCTGCTGCTCCCCTCAGCAGTGTATTTCATTCAATCCACCTGTTCTGCTCCCCTCTCTGTCTCTGGTGAATCCTCTCATCCCCCGCACCTCTGGCCTGCACCCCAGCTCTTATATGCATAAATAAATCTTAAAAAAAAAATAAAAAGAAATTGAAAGAACCCCTTTCTTCCTGATCTCTGTTCCATATTTGCTGGCAGAATGTTTTTCCGCAGACCTCCACACCTCGCTGCATCCTGTGACCAGGGAGCCTGGCAGCAGGAGGCAGGAGGCAGAGGCCAGTCCTGCCCCTGCATGTCGCCCCTGTATGTCATCAGCAGAAGCTGAGTCCTGAGGGCAGAAGTGACACTCCCAAGGTCATGTGCTTGTCACCCTCAGGACGCCTGCCTCCCTACCCTCAGCCCTCCACACTGCCACCCAGTGGGAATGACCACAAGTCATTCTCAAGGAAGATGACCAGAGACAAGGGGCTTCCGGGACACGGGTCCTGTTAGGTTTTCTCCAACGGCAATTCCCTGGGGCTACCATCGATGGAAAAAGCCAGCACTTTGGCCTAATTCCCACACACCAAGAAGCCCTGAGATCTGTGAGGGAGGCTGGAAACAGCCTGCTGTGTGCATTCATGTGACATTTTCTTTTGTGCTTTAAGTTAGGTACTGCCAGACACTACTGATGCCAACCATTCTACCCTCTTCTGAAGCAAGCAGAATCTACCAACAGATTGCTGGGTACTATTTTCCAAGCCTCCCTCACTTCTAAGGATGGCCATGTGGCACAGTTCAATGTATGGGGAAGCACATTTCTCCTTGAAATTCAGAGGAACTGGCTAGTAGAATCATCTTGTCACCTGACTGGGCTCCTTCTTGCATTTAATAAGCATGACTGGATAAGGATGTGATTCTAGGGGATACTGCAGCCACTTTGTGACCATGAGGACAATACCAGTGGCATATTGAGCATGGTCGAAGAGGATGGAAAGGGGTGGAGACCTGTGAGACTCCCTTTCTCTCAAATCCTTGTTATTTACATATTAATAAACTCCTATCAACTGCTTTCGGTTGGGTCTTGAAAAATCAGATCTTATAACTAACCAGACTTGCCTTTTGATCTGGCAAGGACTACCTGGAGCTAGAGCAGATCAGCATCTTTTACCTGGGTGTAACTCTCTAGTTATCCACAGTCTCCACCAATCTCTAATGTCCCTCACTTGCCTCAATCACTGCATTCCTCTCCTATCTCTTAAGACATTTGATCTAAGGCTGATGATCTCTAATATAGACTCTGGGTGCACTCAGGGAAGGGAGGTAAGTCTTATAGACCACAGCCTCCAGGGTGGGCTTGCTTTGACTTTTTACACTGTGTGCAACCTGCTTTGTCAAAGTGATGGGATCAGTAACCCCTCACACTCTAAAATACATCAGGGACTGGGATTAAGTGTCTTCATTCAGGCCATTTTATTAATGTGTTATGAGGTTCCTTCCTTCCATTAATAGAGCATGAAATTAAAATATATGGATCCTCAAAAACACCTGCCTTTTGTGAACTGGCTCATGCTGTTAATTACAGCTCCTATAGATCCAACCATATGCTCCATGTTATTCTGTCCTTTGTAATTTTAATTACAATTTAATGAAAGCTTTTCTATGGCTTGTCATAGCACTTCCAACTTAATTATCAGCATTAACAATGCTGTATTCTTTGTTACTTTTCAGGGTTCTTCCATTTATCTGTAAGTGTATGTATTGATATTATATTTACACTTCATGCTCCAGAATTTTAAGTCATCATTAGTTGAAATACAGCTCTCACTGCCTCCTGCTCACTGTTGGGGAGAGTGGGTAAAACTAGAATCACAGAAGGAAACAGGCCCTATTTTTTTAAATAGTAGCAAAGGATCCTTTTCCTGCATTTTTGTTTTCGATGTGGTTTTTGAAAATTATAAAAATTTTAGTTAAATCAGAATATTGTATAACCTATTTTGCATAAATGTGCACTGAGTTTAAAATGATATCTCACCAATTGCTATGATTTAGTTTGTAAAACATGTCACATTCATTTTTCAAATCGCTTGCCAGTGTATCTGCAGCAATTTAAACAATCTGCTTTTGGACAGAAGTCAATTCGAGCCTTCCCAGCCCACACGGGACAGTCACTGTACAGACACCTTTGGGAAGGACCACGGCTGGAGAGAGTTGCTGGGGGGTCCTTGGATGAGGCCTTTACCAGGTGCACCCAGGCCTGAGCCCATCAAGGATGCCCTGGAGGGTGGGGCTGGCACTCCCGGCCCGGAGCTGCTCAGCCAAATGTCGCAGTTGCCTGAGTCTTTCCCAATGCTGCTGTTACACGAACTGCTGGCAAGTGACAGGCTCTAGACCTCAGAGATGCATCTCCTCCACGCAGGCCTGGGAATCTGAAGCCCCACACGGTACATTTGCAAAGAACAAGCGGGCCAAGCAGCAGCTCTGGACTCAGACTAAACAAAGCTTCTGAACTTGCCACATTTAAACAATGCCAAGAGCAGAGAGAAAGACACAGCACGTTGCTGCTACTGTTCTCGCACCTTCACTGAGCGCTACCACACTGAAACGCTGCCTGCTAGTGGGGAATGGGAATGTGCCGCCCCAGGAGGCAAAGTACCCTGAAGCTGCTGCTTACCGCCAGGTAACCCGGTCACACTACCCACACCCCTCAGACCATGGCGGCAACCTTCCCCACTCTGGCACTCACATGTCTTTGTTTTCGCTGGACTGAAGTCTGCACATGACTTCCTTCTAACTGCAGTGAGTCAGCAAGCCCCAGAAGCGCCAGGCTGCAGCTCCGAGCTGCAATTGCCCAGCACAGACTGTGAGAGGCCTCCCAGCCTGTTTCCAGGCTCCACACTGGAACCCCTACTGCCCGAGCTGGCTTGGGCCTGCCCACCCCGCTGGCCTCGGCTGTGAAACCTACCGCATCTCCAAATGACTTCTGCTGCACTGGACGGCCAACACCACGTCTTCCAGGTGGGAGGTTTTATTATGTTTTACAACCATGAAGACATAGGAAGGTGGCTGTGACAGCAAACATTTCAGAGACAGGAGTCGACCGCCCTGCACGCTGCACCCACCCCGCCCTGGCAGCCTCCTTCCACGCGCCCCTCGGAGATTGTTCCTGGGTCCTTCCTTTGCAAAGTCAAGAAAGTCGGATGCAGACACTTAAGTAGCAGGAACATCATCAGCAGAATGGGAGCAGGATAACTTTGAGAAAAGACTGATGAGAAACTCGCCAGAGAAGCCTCTTCTCTGCTGTTAAGATGGCAGGTTAGAAGCACCTGGGTCTAATGTCCCTCCTCCCCAAAGAGTCATACAGGGCCCTCGGTGACGCCCTCCAGAGGCAGGCTGGGCGCACTGTCGGCCATGGGCCTCTCCTCTTTCTTCATGGAGGTCGGGACCCGGAGGCTCACGTAGGGTTTGTGACAAGCTGTGTTGGCCAAGGGAGGGTAGTGCTGTCGGTAGCAAACGTAGGCAAACATGAGGCCGATGACTCCGCCAACAAAAGAATCTAGCAGGAAGGGGCAGAACAGGAGAAGAGCGTTAGCATTCACCCACATGCGGCTGGAACTTTCCAGTACCTGCTCTGCTTATCATCGGACACCCTGAAGGACTAAGGGAAAGAAGAAACGTGGGGGCTACACATCTCGGCCTCTGCAAACTCTCATTTCCATAGCGTCAACATCCCTGTCAGATGTGTGCTTGATTCACTCTCTTCTTTTTCTCTTTAATCCACACCTAAGCGTTGCACAGGCTCAGATTTACCTGCTGGCTTTCAAAAATCAATTCTAAAGCTGGGAGGATTCCAGCCATCCCTCTGCAGTCTCCATGCCCTCAGGGGCTGCCACTGCCTTTTGTTTAGCGAGTTCTCTCTGGGGCTGCAGCTGCCTTCGGTTTAGCAAGTTGCCTCTGGAGCGCTGCACCATGGCTGAGCCACAGAAGCCCAGGGTGCGTCCGTCTCAGCCTCGCGTGGCAAAGTGGTTTCCCAGGGAAGAAACCAACCTTCTAAGTCACAAAGTGAATGAGACATTTTATGATAATCAGGAGGGGCAAACTTGACAGACTCTGGTGGGAGGACCAATCCCTCCACAGGCCGCAGATCTCAAGCTGCAGAGATGGAGGGGGCAGCCGAGTGGGAGGGGCAGCTGCAGGCAAAAAAGCGTCCCCCACCGTGAAGCAAAGAGGACACTCAGCTGGTGCCCAACAGACTCCATGAAAGCAGCAGGCCCTGCAGACCTCTTCGTGTGTGTGCACACAAACAAGCTTTAACCTGTGTCTGGGTTATTCTTTTTTTTAAGATTTATTTATTTACCTATGCATACAAGAACTGGGGTACAGGCCAGAGGTGTGGGGGGGGGGTGAGAGGACTCACCAGAGACAGAGTGGGGAACAGAACAGGCAGATAGACTGACATACACTGCTGAGGGGAGCAGCAGACAAGTCAGGAGAGGTCTGCTGTGCCATGTGGGTATCTTCCTGGCCGGGGATTGAACTCATGCTGCAGTGGCCGTGGACAGCCCCATAGGCTGCATCTTAATCCCTTGCCAGGGAGGCCCAATATGGATTATTCTTGCCCAAAAGATCTTATCACAATGGAGAACCTCAACACAAAAGAAGCCTGAGCTCTTGTGAAGTGGCCACATGCTGAGCCATCATTCTCCATTTGAGGGTTTCACTTTCCACTCGTTATCTTGTGGGATCCCACACACTGAATTCCTATGTCAGTAGCACCAGCTTCACTGTGCAGAGGAAGGAGACTCCAAGAGGCCAGTGGACCCCTGCACCCCACACCCTCCTTCATGGCAGAACTAGGCTGGAGCTCTGTGTTCCTGCTTCGTCCGGCCCTTTCTCTCCAGGTGACCGATGCCCCGTGTGCAGCTGGCCACACGTGGGTGCAGGTGACGCAGAGGCTTCTTCTGCTGGTCAGTTCTCTGGGTAGTGAGTTTTCAAACACTCCCTGTAAGCCACACACTGTGCCTGGCGCATCGACTGCACACGGTTTTATTTATATGGTTTAAGTCACAAGCGGATTCCCTGGTGTCTCCTGCTGGGCCATTTGGGGTGGCTGTCAAGGAAAGGCATCTCAGGAAAACAAACTGTTGAATGCTTAAATATCTGCACCCCCTCATCGGTCTGCATGTGATCCTGTCCCAGGTGTCCCGGGTCCATCTAGATATATGGGAGTTATTTTTGGAGAAGGGGACAATGCTTTGGTATTTTATTATCTTCTGAAGATTGCTTCTACCTGCAGCATCTTTATTAGGTTAATCGGCTAAAGAGCAGGCAAAGGGCATTTCTCGGATGGTGGCATGAAGGCCACAGTGTCCTGCTGCTGCCAGGCTAACAGGGAGGGCTCCTGCCCACGCTCCCAGTCATGGGCCCCTCCCACGCCCTGCAGCCACTGACTTCCCTTCTGTTCCTCAATATGCCTACTTCCCCTCTCCTTCCTACAAAAGCTGCTCCAACCTAGGGGTCCCTTCCCCCCCACCTATTCAGTGTCTGTTCCCCCTCAGGGCACCACTCTACCTCGTGTGCAACGAAGCCTCCCTGACCCCAAGCCTGGTCTGAGTGTCCCAGGCACACAATTTCAACCCCCACTCTGGCCACAGATGCAAACAGGATGGCAAAAAATGACAAACTGCAACTGTTTCATGTTGAACCCATGAAGGCAGGGGCCATGTCTATTGTACTGGCTGTTGCGTCCTCTCCAACACACCTTGCTCACGAAGAACTGAGCTGGTTAGTCCCTGGGGGGCGAATATGAGCACAGACACACAGGGGCTGGATGCTGGCGGCTGCCCCGTGTGTCCCTGTGTGGGCTTCTCTCCCTCCCTGGGCCTCCGTCCTCACCAGTTAACACAAGAGCATGGGGTGCATGGCGACCAATAGACCTTCCCACGCAGCGTTCCACAATCCCCACCCCCAGGGTCAGCCTATGGGTATAAGCATTCAGACTTCTGGAAAAGCAGACAAGGCCCATCTAGGAAGTAGATCATATTCTTGGGATAAATGTCACTTAGCCACAGATGTCCTTCTGGTTGAAGGAGGTGGTCAGAACATGGTGGCTTCCTCGTGACAGGGGAAGTTACTAGGGCAAACTCCGCTCTGACAAAACCAACAATGCTGTGGTTGTTACTGTTCCTTTTATTCTCCCACCACTGAGGCTCGCTTTGTCTTTGGGGCTCTGAGTTTCTGTAAGAAACTTAAATAGCACAGGGGCTGTGCCATCAAGGGCAGCACCCACATCTGTCTTCCTCAACACCATGTTTTGGTGGAGAACATGCCTGGCACACAGGCCAAAAAGACACATGAATGGATGTAGGTTTAAAGTGTGATTTTTTTTTTTCAATGAAAGAATATGCAGACTAAGGTTCACTTTTAGCAAAGCCACCTTTAAAGAAAAAATAATCACAAGAAATGTTGAGGATTTGGTCAAAATCTGTCCTTCATTCACAATATTTATTGCGTGCTGTTGAGTTGAATTGCGTGTCCCTACAGATCCATTGAGGTCCTACCCCAGTTACTGAGAACATGACTTGATTTGGAAATGGAGTCTTTAGGGGGTGACCGAGTCAAAGTGAGGTCCCTGGGGTGGGCCCTCATCTGGCTGGTGTCTTTATGAAAAGGGGAAATGTGGACACAGCGACAGCAACATACAAAGAAGAAAGATGAGAGGAAGAAGCACAAGAAGAAAACCCCATGAATTTGGAAGCAGAAATTGAAATTACTTTGCCACAACAAGGGAGGGAGCAGTTGGGCTCCTCAAAGCCAGAAGAGGCCCTGGGGGTTCGGGGTGGGGAAGGGTCTTTCCCCTCCAGGTGTCAGGGAGTGGGCCCGGCCAACACCTTGATCTTCAACTCCTGGCCTCCAGACTGTGAGGGAATAAATTTCATGGAATTTTGTTATAGCAGCCCGAAGAAACTAATAAAGTACCTATCAGATGCCATCCTAACAAAAGAGTTACAAATCCCAGGCGACATGGAGGTTATATTCTAAATCAGAGTTCAAACTATGGAACCTCTTGGTTCCCACACTGCCTATAGCTGCTTCCTGCTACTGCGGCCAAGCTGGGGAGCTGCAGCAGAGGCAGGCAGGGCCCACATAAAGCTTAAGATATCTATTATCTGACCTTTACGGAAAAAGCTGCTGACTCCTGCTTGTGGATAAGGCCAGGAGTAATCAATACATAATGAATTGCTTGGTGTGTTAGACGCTGGTGAGTGAGCACAGCGAAGGGAGCACATGGAGCAGTCATCAGAAGACTTCCTCACTGAGTCGATAATTGAACCCAGATTAGGAGGAAGGGAAGAACAAGCCACACCCACCTCTGAGAGGAGCATTCCAGGCACAGGGGCCTGCAAAGCTGGACCTGGCATGCTCAAGGAACAGGAAGAAGCCCAAGGGGCTGCATTGGCGCTGGCATGAGTATGGTGGGGAAGTAGTCAGAAAACACCAAAGGGGTCGGAACTAAGGGACCAGATCTTGGAGGCCATCGCAGGACCTGCATTTGGACGCTGAATGCACGGGGGCGTCACTGGGGAAGCTCAGCAGAGGAGATGCACGAGCTGACTTCCGGCTGTACAGGCTCGTGTTGGCTGCAGTGTGAGGGGCAGGGGAGGGAGACTGGGGCATGGGGGAGGCATCAGCAGTAATCCAGACAACAGATGATGGTGGAACAGACCAGAGTGGGAAAAGAACATTGGATTCTAGAAATACCCTGAACTTAAGAGCCAATAGGAAAACAGAGAAAATCACAGAATGCAGGTAGGAGGATTCCCTGGAGTGAGATCGAGCTCGTCTGAGACGTGGGACCAGCCAATGTCCATCTTCCCTGGAACGAAGCCATGGGGAAAGGCCAGGACCAAGCCAGGACCAAGCCTCCTGAGGGACGCCGGAGATATAAGGAGAGCAGGAGGTGGGCTCACGGGCTATCAACACTCAGAGGTTCCCAGGCCCTGAGCAGCAGGACAGCTGCCCCAGCCCAGAACAGCGGACTTCCAAGGGAAAATGAGGTGAGATCAGTTTAGTCAGGACTGAAAAACTGGGGGATAATCACGGTGGTTTTGTTCCACACAAGGCAGGAGCAACACCATAGGTCCAAGGGCTCCATCTCAAGTCACTTCATTTAGAAAACACAGAGGTTGCTGGACAGCCCAAGGGAGGCCTGGTTAGTGGACTGTGTGTCCCTCACCTCCGGGGGGAGTGGGTGGGAGGAGAGAGATGGGAGCAGCCTCACCTGCCCTGTGAGGAGCTGGGAGTCCTGCCTGGCACCCGTATGTCCAGCAGGGCACCCGCTGCCACTCCCAGAAACACTCCTGAAGCCTGGTCACTCCACTTACATTCATTTCAAGTCACAGACCCTTCACAACCCAGTCAGGGAAGGGCCAAGGCAGTGGCGGCCATTTCGAAAACTTCAGCCCAGTCACACACGGTGTCCGTGACTGACAGGACGCTTCCCAACCTCGGGTGGGGACAAATGGCTGTTGCCTCCCTTGAGACCCACTCGTACGGATGACAGTCAGAGGAAGATGCTCTTTCTTATAAATGAAACACCATCCAAGGTTTCTTAAGAGGACCTATCATTAGAGAAATTAGTGTTGATTAAAAGGTTCCCCCCAAAGCAGCATCACATGAGAAGCCTGGGTCCAGGCACAGGAACTCGGGGCGGGGAGGGAGTGACATTCCCAGCTGTAACTGGAAACTATAAACATGCAGGTGTGTGGGTTCAAGGACAGACCGTGCTCTCTCTCTGCACTTTCCCTACACATGCTTTCCCTAGCATGAGGAGGCCACAGATTTTATTGCTTGAAAACATAGCTAAACACAAAAGTGAGCCTTTTTGTGATGCCCTGGGCACTGCAGCTAACATCACCCACGAGGCTCTCCAGCTTCCAGCTGACCCGAGAGCCAGCACGGCACACAGACACAGAGCCCCTCAGTCTCACAGGAGTCTGGTGTCCATCCAGTGGATTTTACTTCTAGAGAATGTTTCACCTGCCCCTCGGTGCCACAGCCTGTGCCTCACCTAATAAAACAAGACTTGTGTATCTGCAGTGCAACTGGGAAGGCAGAAAAAACCAGAAGGGTATGGACAACAGAAAAAAAAATAAGAAAGAAAGAAAAGAAACATGATAATGGACAGAGCAAGGCATATGAGTTTATGGGTTATTAACTGGATGTGAATATGTAACCGAGTAATCGGATGTACTTCCACATTAGGCACAGTTGCTTAAATCAAAATTGAAATGCAGTCATAAAATTCTCATAATATCAGTGCTGTTATAAGGTCTATAATGAGGGGACTTGGGTTTTGCTGGTGCCTCTGGGGCTCCACGTGAACTCACATGATGGATGGCCTCTGCCGACAGGCACTTCAGTCCACCCAAGAAAAGCAACAACTTATTTATCTCCATCAGGCATCCTGCTGCAAACACCCACCTACACTGCATCCAAGGGCCTCACCGCCCGGCCCTTCTCCAAGCTGGAAACCTTGAAGGCCTCTTCAATTACTCCCTTGATGAGTGACTGTTAGACATCGATACTTCTTATCATGCAAGAGGGAAAGAGAGAGCTGAGGCGCTACGTAGGTCAGTCTACACGGCAACAGACCTTTGGGGCTGAAAGCGCTATCTTGGGTGCCAAAGGATCCCCGGCCTCCACCCATTAGATGCCAGCAGCAAACACTATTACTGCCACCTCTGGCTGGTAAAACCAAAAGAAGTCTCCAGGCATTGCTCGATGTCCCCTCAGAGGCAGACACCACCCGTTGAGAGCCACTGGGGTAGACAGTGATGTATATATTCCCATGAAGGTGAATTCAGGTAAAATGAGCATGACTCAGAGCCCATTAGAGGATCCAAGGAGAGACAAGCTCCTCTCCTCGCTGAATTCATGGGCAGGGACTGAACAGGCAACGGCACAGCTGAACTGGTCCTCGGGCCACATAGGTGACCTGTACCGACGGGTGCACATTCAGTTTTGGCCACAGAAGTCTGCAGTGACAGTTTTGGTTCACTCCGAGGTAAGGGCCTGAAAATCACTGAACATAAAGCCTCTTGCTGTGCTTTCCCATAAAGCCCCAATATTCTAAGGCACTAATATTCTCCCTCCACTGCTCTCCAGGTTCTTTTTGTGCCAGCTGGATAGGCTGGGTCTGCAGCCCAGTTGCCAGCAGGCCTTGGGTGCACCAGCTGCATCAAGTCACCACTTACCTCCCTAAGCCAAGAAGCACCCCTCATTTTTTTATGCTGCACACCCACAGCTAGGCACAGGGGTGCAAACCCAGTGAGGACCAAGAGTACGTACTTAAGAGGGACTGAGCTCAGGTCTTAGTTTTTCAGGACAAGCTCACACTACAAAGCCTCTTCCCACCTTCCAAGGTAAAGCAAAAATCAATTCGATTCTGAAACCCTTAATCATCTCCCAAATCCAAAGTGGTAAAATAAAAGAGAAAACTGGAGATTCATAGCTTACAAATAGACTGTGTTCCCAAAACACAGAGGTCTCTAAATTAGTTTTTGGAAAACACAACACATCCTTCTTACGAAACAACACAGCAAACACCACCGATTTGCATTTGTGCAATATGTTTTCATTTCTAAAGTACATTCAGATCCATCATTTCACTCGGTCTATGAAATATCTCTGTGAAACATTTGGGGCTGATTTCTCCATGTTCAGAAAAAGAAACTGCAGTTTACAAGGGATAAATGAAAAGCGGTCTATAAAATGCCATGCAGCCTATAATATTCTTTGTGGAGAGGGGCTCTTCCTATGTGGGCAACAGTGATTCTGGGAGCAAATATTCCCATTTCCAGGGGTGCAGTGGGTCTTCCCTGGAGCTGCTGCTTAGTGACTCCCTCCTGGCTTCCCTTCTGTCATGTCGTGTGGCCCCATATTATCCAGAATCTCATCTAAGTTATTGATGATGACAGCAAAGAACAGGGAGCGCCCAGCCTGTAGTCTACACTGCCCGCCTCCATGGGAGAGCTCAGGATCCTGCTCAGCGCTTGATGCATCCTCCTGTCCAGACCAACCATCAGTCTTCCTGTGCCTTTGGCCCTAAGTCAAAGCCTTTTCTGCTGGAGGCTCATGAGCTCCGGGAGAAGGAACCGAGGCTGGGAAAGGAGCAGAAGTAGCAGCAGAAAATGGGGAGATGCTGCGAGGATCATGAGGTGCCCAGAGAAGAGAGGGAGAAGCCTCTCCCCACCACCATCTAGGGGTTCCCCTCATCTCTGACCTCATCTGCTGCCTCACCACTCGTAAAAACACCTGGGAAGGAGATAGACCCACAAGGCAGGTGGCTGCAGAGACAGAAAAGGTAGAGGAGGGAACAGGGCAACCCAGGGAAGCTGGAGGTAGGCACAACTAATTCTGCTTATTCACTTGTAGCTGACACAACAGAGCTCTTCACCAGTGCTATTTAGACTCCATCAAAAATAACTGACTTGCTTGTTACAAATGCAGACTCCAGGCTACTACTCCACAGCCACCCCCAAGGTCCTATTCGTAGCTCAGGGTGCCAGACTAAGGTGCTGTGTGGGCTGCCGTTGGGGAAACTCAGCTCTAGACCTGGAGCTCCCGGAGGCAACACATCCTGTGGACACGCATTTGTCTCTGCTCCACCCCTATTTGTAAGAGCAGGCGCTGCCAGCTAGTGGGGCAGCTGCGAGCTGGTTTAGTTTTATCCCTGAAACAAGCTCCTCATTCATCTTGTGTTCATCTGACTTTTCACAGATACCCGGGATTCATGCACACAGGTAAGCCTCATCCAGCCTTGCAGCAGCTGCTGAGAACACTGCAGGCATTGATCCTTGGCTGGACACATCCTTTGGAAGTTCATCCATGGTGAGAAATACATCCCTGTGGCATGGATTTGAAATGTGAAAGGAAAGAAGCCACAAACCACTTGGCACAAGTCTGGGAAACCAAGCCAATGACCCAACCTTGAGTCTGAATCCAAGGGCTTGCCATCCTGGCTGGACTCACAGTCTCCTTGAGCACAGAGGAGAAGGAGAAGCTTAGTTCTGTTCCTAGCAAGAGCAGCATGAAGGCCAGAACTCACTGGAACAGGCATATCTTCTTTAAATCTGTATCTACACGGTCACCTTGACCTTTGATTTACCATGGTGCTCAGTTCTCCCCAGTAGGTGCATTTCCACGTCCTCCTGCATGGGGAGCCAGGCTACCCCGAGGGCTGGGCTGGGGAGGGACTCACCTTGCCAGTGATGCTTGTAGTCACACATGCGGGACAGTGCGATCATCATGGCACAGTACAGGGGCAAGATGGCGGCACAGAGCCTCCAGCTCTTCCCCCTCCCGCTCTCCGTGAAGCAGTGCAGCTTGCCAGCCAAGTAGAACGTTGTGAAGCCAAGGCCTGAAAAGGCAACTGCCAAAGAAAAACAGCAGGTGTTACCTAGTGGGTGGTGACAGACGGACACAGGGCATCCTGCCGGCCCCCCGAGGCCCCTAGGCCCAGGCCAGGTTGGCACCAGGTTTCCTGCCACAGCCAGGCTGGCGTGAAACTGTCAACCATGAGCATGACCTTCCAGGCTGGCAGCTCAGAAGCTACCCCACTTCACCCACTCACTCAACAGGCACCTCATGGGCACCTAATGTGTGCAGGCGGGCCTGGCTCTGGGAGCAAATAAAAGGACAGCTGAGGGACAAGGCCACGCTAATGGGTCATTTTCATAGAAAATTTTGTGTTGCATAAGAAAACAGCGCATCCAGAACAAAAGACTGAAGATGGTTTAGCTGGGGAGGGTGAGGGAGGCTACGGGGTTTTAACTCGGTGGCATTCACGACGATAGGACCAGTTAACACTACAAAAGAGACAGACAGAAAAGCCAGAGATGACAAATTCCTGTTTTCTTAGAAATTAGGGTTGCAAAGACAACTGGGGTCTGTGCTAAAAGCGTTGTCAAAAGTGTGGAGTTGGGTGTAGCATATATTCCCCAAGCCCTTCAGCCAGTCAGCTTTTTTTTTTTTTTCTTTTATAGAGGCATGTTTTATTTATTTATTTGTTCGTTTGTTTCGTTTACACATGCACTGGGTACAGTCAGAGGCGCGGGAGGGTGAGAGAATTCACCAGAGCCAGAGCGGGGAGCAGAGCAGGCAGAGGGACCGAAGCAGCGGGCGGCAGGAGAGGGAGCAGCGGGCGGCAGGAGAGGTCTGCGCGTCATGTGGGACCCTCCTCCGGTGGCCGGGGAGCAGCCAGGGATCGAACCGGCGCTGCAGAGGCTGCGGGCAGCTTCGCATCCCAGCGCTCAACCGCTGCGCCACCGGGGAGGCCCCAGCCAGTCAGCTTTAAAACATAGTGAAGCTTAGTGAGATTTAAGGTGGGTCTCCTGTCTGCTCGCAACAACTGTCCTCAGCCCTGGCTCCACAGGTGCTCACCTTTAAATCTGGGAAGCTTTGAAAGATGCCGGTGGTGAAGTCCCACGGTCAGACATTCTGCTTGCGCGTTTCGACCAGTCCAGTGTGGACGCTAAGGGGAATGTGTGTGTGTGTACGGGTGTGTGTGTGTGTGTGTGTGCGGGTGTGCGCTTTCCCCGGGTGATTCCAAGGGCAGCCAGGATCGAATTTAGAAACCTCTATTGAAAGCAGGTGCTATAGCTAAACTGACTCTGGGTCAGTCAATCAAGACTTTCCCTTTCAGCAGTGCTCCGAGGTAGCCAGTCCACACCGCAACTTGGTAAAACAAGTTTTGTAAACACCTAAATGCCAACAACTTTGAGACTCAGCAGTAGCCTCAGTGCCACCAAAGTTGTTACAGATGCAGACTCTCAAGCCCGCCCCAACCCACTGAGGTAGCATCTGCGTTTTACAAGAGTCAGCAGTGACCTGTGAGCAGGTCCAGTGTAGGGTAAGGAAAAAAATGTCAGGCTTTTCTGCCCTCCCGCCATCAGGATAGACGATGGATCCTTGCGGTCCTGAATGCATGCCTGATGGCGGGCACCTGGAGCAGGGTGTGGGCATAGGGAGATGGGATTCACCTGGGCTGAGACTGTGCTTTTTAAGGTCAGCGTCATGGGGACGCCAGCAGAAGCCAAGAAGCCGAAAGAGAAGCCAAGAAAGAAGTAGCAGAAGCTGAAACAGAAGCAGAGAGAAGGCCGGAGAGCCCAGATAGAGTGAAGACTTGCTGGGGGCTGGGAGGCCTGCCAGCCTCCCGGCCCCCCAGCACTCCTGCCTGCTGTGTACTGGGTAAACCCCAATAAAAAACCCAATAAAAAACCTGCAAAACCCCTGAGGGCTGGATGGATCAGAAAACTGATTAATCAGTTTCACATTACTTAAAACGGCCTCATAGAGATGCTTTATGGAGAGGATGGGTGTGTCGTAGGCTGAATGTAGGGGCTGAATGTAACTGGTCCTATCATAGTGAATGCCACCGAGTTAATCAGTGGCAGTTACCCGGTCTGCGGGATCAGAAAACCTGCTCTGTGTCCAGTCCTGCCCCTACATTCAGCCTACGACACACCCATCCTCTCTATAAAGCATCTCTATGAGGCCGTTTTAAGTAATGTGAAAAATGTGGGGAAATCTAAGACGCTATTCTGTTCAAACTTACTTAGGATTATAGAAAAAATGGAAAGGGATGAATACAGAGGCAAACGGTGACCTTTCCATTCAGCGGGCTATGACGCAACCTCGAAAATTACTGTGATTGCACAGCAACGTGCACACTACTCAGGACACAATGTTAAGCAAAAAAGTAGGACCTGAAATTATAGGTTCAAGGTAATCATGGCTACAGGTGCAAAAAAACTGAATAACCTGCAGCTTTAACAAATAATCTCTGATGAGCATCTTTTTAGAAGGGATTCTCCGGGTAGGAACCGAGCTTTTATCAAGGTACAGCTTTTTCAGCAACAAATTAAACAAGGAAGCCGTTTTTAAAAACAGAATATAGAACCAGGTTTACCTCAGGAATAAAAATGAAGCACTTGAACATTTTGAATAATGATTAACATTCAAATACACAGCTAAGGAGCGCCAACATAAATCGAATGGCCTGCTTAAAGGAAAAAATATGTGAGAAACAGCATCGCCCAGCCCTGCTCTCGATGTTTGCTCTGATGAAAGGGTTTTAAGTGATTTACAAGGCGTTCCGAAGTCGCCCCACCTGGCCACTAGCCTAGCAGGCACAATGGGTTCTGAATTTCCATTCACCCTCTTCCCTGAGGTATCAGATGGGGAGGACACTGGACAGTGGGCTCCAGTGGGTACCAGCCTCTCCCTCAGCTCTTGCAGGAAGAGAAAGAGACTCCATTCGGGCCTGTCCAGAGTCCCATGCATGCGGAAAGCACCCACATTCGACCCTGAGGCTGTACAGGGTTATGGATAAAAGTCTTCAAGACTTCAGAGGAAAGGAGAGGCAGCTCTGTGTTGCCAAAGTAGCATCACTTGGGAAAAGAAACAGAAAGAAAGGAAAAAGCCAGTGAGCATCGGGTGCACATGACGCGGGGATGTGTGTGGGTCTCTATGCAAAATGGTCTGGAGATTTTAAAACAGAGAAGTCCCAGTTCCAACTGTCCTGAACAGCTGAGCACATCATGGGATGGACATGGGCTGGGGGCACTGGAACCCTGCATATCAAGACCTGGGGCAGGTGGTGAATTCACACCCTCGGCCTGCACCCGATCACCTCCTTGCCCCCCAGAAGCTGGAATGTGGCCAGCTTTGGTGCCAGAGGACAGTGGCTTGTTCTTTGAAGAGCAGGAAAAATGTGCTTTCTCACATGGTGGGGCTCAAGCTGCAGGCGCTCCAGAAAGCTCAAGTGCCCACAGCTTTGAAAAGGAGGCAGAACTAAAAGCATGCATGCATGCATCATTCATTCATTTATTCACATATTTTTATTTTACTTTTTTGCTATCACATTGGTTCACATTACTTGTGTATTAGAAGTAGAGATTCGGGCCTCCCCGGTGGCGCAGCGGTTGCGTGCTGGGTTGCGAAGCTACCCGCGGCCTCTGCGGCGCCGGTTCGATCCCCGGCTGCTCCCCGGCCACCGGAGGAGAGTCCCGCATGGCGCGCAGACCTCTCCTGCCGCCCGCTGCTCCCCTCAGCAGTGTATTTCGGCCCTTCTGCCTGCTCTGCTCCCTGCTCTGGCTCTGGTGAATTCTCTCACCCTCCCGCGCTTCTGACTGTACCCAGTGCATGTATAAACCAAACAAACAAATAATAAATAAATAAGACATGCCTCTAGAAAATTAAAAAAAAAAAAGGGTGTCTTGGTGGTGGGGCAGGGGCACTTTAAAGGCCCTCAACAGCCTAGGCCCATGTGCATCCACATCCAGGCAGCCAGTTCCTTCAATACTCTCCTGGCTTTGAGCAGTATTTTTAAAGCAGCACCATGTGCTCTGACTACAAGCCGATATGATGAGGCTCCAGTTTTATGCTAAACCTGATGCTTGTCATTTTCTCCTGTTGACATTTGTACTGTCATTGATTCAGCATGAATCTGGGAGGGAGGTAAGTGAGGCCCCCAGATATAGAGCCCCCACCCCCCACACACACTCACACACTTCTCTGGATTCTTCTTCCAAGGATGACCCCAGAATCCTCCTGGAGCCTGGGACAGGGGTCCCTCTGGACTCCAGGGACCAACAGCCACCTCCCAGATATTTGGGCTGCACCCCAGAGAACAGTGTAAGAGGTTCTCAGAATTCTCAGGAAAGATGAGGCTACAGAAAGGGAAGCAACATCTGAAGAGGGGGCTGATACTCCCAATATCCAAACATACAAACAAAAATGTAAACCAAAATTTCCTCAATTAAATTTTTTTTGAAAAAGGAAAGCACCATGAGCCACTGAGAGTCCAAAGGATGGATAGCCCGGGGGGGGGGGGGGGAGGAAAGCGCCAGGGAACCAGGATAGAGGGCAGGCACCCGGCAGGCACCGGGGAGTGGTCCAATAGAGGAAGGCCAAGCCCACTGGGTGGTGCCAAGCGTCTCCCACTGCCAGGCACCATGCAGCTTTCCTCACCTGGTTCTGCTTCATCCCCAGAACCACAAGGGAAGAGACATTAGGCTGCTTTATTGGGCAGAAGTGAGACTCGGTCCACTATTTACCAAAGGTTACTGCAGCCTAAGAAACTGAATTATTTCTAAATAGAGAGAAAAAAAAAAACCCTAATCATAGCTTTTCTTAGCACAATTGCAGGTCAACTCTGCTCACTGCCCATTCCCCTCTATGCCCCCTCAACAGGGGCCCAGCAGGGCCACCCCTGAAGCTGAGGACCCAGCACACAGCCTGGCAAGAGAATTCGCTGGAACGTCGTGCCTGCCTGAACATAAACACGGTAGAGCCCATTTGCCAGACCACAAACACCTGACTTTGTTCAACACTCTGGCACCAGACCCAGGCCCTCAGGGACATAAGGAT